ACAGAGGCACGGCCACAGCCATAACTTTTGCCCAATCCACTTCACTCAATAAGTCATTTGTGAGTTTAATCTGAATAAAATCTGGTTCACTGAGTTCCTCATATTCATGTGAACGTAACAACTTGAATTCGCCATACTAAAACCACTGTTGCTTAGTTACATAAGAGATGCCTTGCAGTAATACATTGTTATCAATGGATAAGAACAGCACAAAGGAACCAGTCCATCCCAGAGATGGTGGTCGCTATGCAAAAGCTTGCCCTGAATCGCGAGGTATAGCAACAATGTCTTTAGTCTGGGGAATTCAAATTGTTATGTTTCTATACAATCAGATAACTCAGTCTACCAGATTTTACTCAAATGTAACTCACAAAAGGCTTATTGGCAGAGGAAGGGTCTATGGTTATTAATCATAAAGAATTGTGCAGGCAAGCCTTACACTGGCAGGCACTTGCAATTAATTTGTTCAGTTCTCCTGAAATATGACTGAAATACTCCACCTTCTGGGTATCACTCGCTACAGTTGTCCACCAAAGTCTGAAGAACTCTTGTTCCACGGCAATAAAGCGACGTTTGCTGTCCTTTACCAAGTTGGCAACCACTGTGGTGTAGACATCAGCGGCATAAGCCTCCATGCTCTCCTAAGAGCAGACAATCACATTTCACTTCAACAATTTTTGTTTTCATTATTTTATTTACTTATCCTTTTTGTGGGAGGAGGGGAGAATCAGGTGGAGGAGGGATTGATTAAAAATGTGAATCACTTTCTGAACTTATTTTGAAATTTTTGCAGGGGTCGGACACTGAGTACAACAAACTTGAGAAGTTAAGCAGGAGTGAAACTACTGGAGGGGGGATGTGGAGAGACGAAGAAAGGCAGCCTAAAGAGTGCAAAGACTCTCCATGCCTTAAGCATCGTCGATGTATCCATATTATCGATATGGGTTTGATATCAACATCGTCAATGTTAGTTATTTGGTAATATCGATATGTAGAAAATATCGGATTTTGGAGAAATATCGAAAATATCAAAACTTTGAAAACATTGATATTGAAAAATATCAAAAATATCGCTACTGAGAAACAAATTTTTCTAAAAATACGAAAGTGCATCATCACATTACCGTAATTTTCGATAAGCCACGGCTTATGTTGGTTCTCACCTTGTGTGAAAAATGTCCCTGTAGCTTATACTTTGGGCAGCTCATACGGCAACATTTGAAGAATAGACTGTCACCTATCTCAGTCACACTCAGTAATTCGTGTACACTTTGCCTCGAAAATATCACAAAATTTATCCTCTAAAACAGAGAATTATTTGCTAACCGTACGTACGTAGACTGGGACCACGTGCTGATGATATCGCAAAGCACGGGAGCGTGTATCCCATTCCATGTAGGCAACTTACGCAATACGGAAAGTGGAACATGTCGCTAAAGTGAATTGGATCACACCATCATGGTGTAGGGGTGTACCCTTAGAAAAATTTACCAGTATAAGCATTACACATCTGTTATGATACCTTGAAAATTAAAATAAATAAAATTCGATATATCGATAATATCAATGTACAAAAATAATATATCAGTATCTACCAAAAAACGACATCGATGGTGCCTACCATGCCTCCATTGACGCATTCTACCTGTCCTACAGACAAGAGGAAGTCTGTCAGATTTCAGTGCACACTTTTAAGTATATAATTCCTTTTCAGTAATTTATTTTCGTCATTTTAGGTACTGTTTGGCAAAGATATGGAATGCATCTCATACTTCTGCATTCATGTTGGTTTTTTGGGTTCAGTATGGCTCTAAAATACACAAGAAAGAAAGATATGATCTGTTTGTCACTCCATTTGCAATGGAGGTTGTGCATTGCCCGTGCCTTGAACTTGAAGGGCATCTTTGTTATAATGTAGTTACACTGAATGCACAAAAGGTTTAATTAACCCTAACAACCCTGAATCCTCAAATTTTGATATGATTTTGCACACACCCTAGGGAGTTAGGGTTAAGTGTATTTTTAGTGATCATGATGATACAAAAGTCGAAGCCCCTGCCCCAGTATAATAATACTAGGGGGCCTAGGCCTGGGACTTATTGTCAACCCCCAGAACTGTAGGGTCCGACATCCGCCCCGCTCCCAAGTTCCATGGGGGAAGGCCTATCTACATGTACTATCTGTCTCCTTTTCTACACATGCCGACGTTGAAAGTACATGTACATTCAGGCAGTGTCGCAGTGGATTTCTCCCAGTTTCGTATCGCAACATTACCTGCACTGTGTAAATCCAGCCTACATCCATGTGACTGTGCGGAATAATAAATGCCTGGATCATAGTCGGTGTCGCGTCATCTCCATTGCTGCCGCCCGTTGGTGACTGGGCGCGGGCAAGGCTAGCGTGAACCACGGGCCTGCTGGACAACAGCAACATGAAAGCCCCTTGCAGAAGAACCACCCAAAATGCCCCTCTTCCTTGCAGTATCGCCATGCTTAGCATCACCAACTGCTGAGTCGGTTGTTGACCTAGGCTCAAAGCAAATTCCTTCGAGCTGTTCAGCTTTTTTTCAAAGATGTAGCTCAAAAAGTGACAGAACTTAATGCAACCGGATTGGCGCGCGCGGCTGGCACTTGGAGCTTCCGCTGGGCCTAGCCTAGCTTGCACACACACGTGATTTACCTTGGTCATGTCACGTGCTTCGTTCGTATGCGATTCAACGGCTGTTTTATGCATCTTTTGTTGAAGCACCCAATAACTGTCCACAGCACAGTTGGAGCATGTCTACTTTATTATTATTTTTATTATAATTGTTTATTCGGCCATCAACAACATACAGCTCCAAAATACAAATAGAACACATGAGACAGTGAACAAATAAACAAACACGAATTAATCAAAGCTGGCCAGGACTGATAAAAGTAGAACCAAACACTGTGACTCTAAAGCCTCACAGAGTTAGAGTTACATATGCACACATAAAATAGTAACTTGTACTTATAGAAAGATGACTTTAAAAGATCACACCAAAGAAAAAAAATATTCTGATTAACTGAAAAGAGAGCATAAAATAAGTTAACGTACTAAATAAAAAAAATTTATTTATACAATAAAAAGGACAGAAAAGAGTCACGAAATTTAAACATAATAACACATAACGTGGAGTCCGAGACAGCTTGTAAATTAGTTTTGGTTTTGTTTCCTTTTTAAGTTATTAATTACTGATATTATTCTTTTGTTATGGTTTACACTTTTGGGGCGATCAGATGAAAGCATTCCTGCTTAATTATACTCAGTTTAGTCCTGTAAGATGACCATCCAGATTTGTCGTTGGTGGTGATGGTGGTGGTGGGATGGGGGTTCGGACAGGAATTTACCCCCTAAAATATCTCACGATGCTCAAGCCCCCACCCCTTGCGTCATAGGGGACTGGGGTGTTCGGTTAGCCTATATCAGTTTAAGATGATGCATATTGTATCTTGGTCTTTTAGGAAGTGAAAAGGTAACCAAAAGGGGGAGGGCAAGGGGTCAAGCCCAGAGGGTATACCACTGTCGCAAAATGTATTCGTTGTTTTGTCAGTTTAGCATTTTTAACTTGGGATTATGGCATTCCACGATGCCCCTAATGTTATAACTAAAACGAATACTTAGAAGACCGAAAAAAACCAATGAGGAAACACAGTTCACCAATTATTTTATCCCTTTGCAGTTTAATAACCTTCACCCTATTTTTCTAACATTTAAGTTTAAAAATACAGTGTTTCACTACTCAGTTCGATTAAGCAATGTAAACAGTTCTTTTGAAAGGTAGAGCCATGATAAAGTAATATTGACGTTTATTACATTAATAACAAAAATCATAACATGCTAGGATAAACAGAAAAATTAAGCTAATGAAATTGTGGTTTTTATTATCAGTTTTGATTCGGGAGAATCAATTTGAAGCTTAATATGAAAAGGCCAATACATGAAACGAATATTGAAATTCAGAACTGTGAAATTAAAGAACGTTTTTGAATGGCGAAAATAAATGAATGATTCTAGAAAACATTACAAATGAATATCGTCAACAAACTAAGAAACTGAGATACTCTTTGAACACTTCTTCTCTTCTAGCACTTCTAAGACTGAGTACTCTTCTTTTTAAGTATAAACCCAATTACATAATTAAATAAATGCCAAGGTTTAAAGATCCTCATACGTTACAGAACTACAAACAGTACTAAAAAAGTAATACCCATTCAAGACCTACATCAATAATGTGACAAACTTAAAACAAAACTATTTTTGTTTGCACAATATGCGCTTTTTGTTTCTCCTGCGACGAAGATTGGGGTTTTGTGCAGCACCTTACCAGCACTTCAAATGCTGTACATCCTGCATCTATGAATATATATAATATATTCTTGAATACTTCATACTGTATTCTGAAACTAGCAAATTTTAAGTACCATTTTCCATTAGCTCACGGAGCCTGAAGTTTCTGTAAAAAAACAAATTCATTGAATTTAACTAAATAAATGAAGTAAATAATAAGTTCGGTAACTCGCTATATAATTATCTTTTCGTATAAAAATAAAATATTCTGTGTATGTACTTTAGAAAAATAGCTAACATTATTGTAACAGTGATACAAAATATCTGTTGGAAGAATCATATGACTAGACCTTTACAATTACTATAGGGCCTAGTCCTGAACATTTCTTAAGGAAGGGTCCAGGGGTGCGTGAATACAGAGCAGGTGTTGACAGCGTTCGGTCCCTTGGAGGACAGCTTCCTTCCTATTGGCTGGCGTGGTAATTGTAAAGGTGTCTGCTATACCAGGTGTAAAGGTCATAATGAGCGACATGGAGGTACGAGTGCATCTCTTGCAGAACAAAAAGGTCCCGGGTGTTGCGCTCCAGTTCGTTGCCATTTGGCTGCAGGTAAACAGCAGGTGGTGTAGGGAAGCCAGTTTGAAAGAAGTCCCTTTGTTCCATCTGTGAAATAAAATGAACGGAAAAAGGACATTTTTAAGTAAGGAGACGCAACGAGCAATGTCGTTACAACAACAGTAAACAAAACAAAAGGGCAGACGAACGCTCGCTTGGGCTGGCCCGACAGTCAGACAAACAAACGGAGCACATTGATTCTTGGACTTTGTCGACTTTGTCGATCAATGGCTGTCAAAAAGGAAGGTGCTTTTGTCCATGGTTTTCGTAGGATGGTATTCGTGAAAAAATGTTTCTGTTCCCGCAGGTTAGAATGCTAGACAAAAAAGGTTACTCTGACCTGACTAATGCAGGTACCACTTCATGCTCTTATGGGTAAAATAACTTACTAGCTAGCTGTTGGATCCTCAGCTGATCATAAGTCAAAAATCCTAACGCAAGACCATACCTCCAAACAACAAAGAAACTGACGAGAAATGAAGAAAAATTCGTACCACGGCTTCAAGCATGGCCACTACGCGGTTCAAACGAACTCGAATGGTGCTGAAGTTATTCCCGAAATTAATAGGGCTATTGGACAGTGCCTCGTCTGCTTCCACGAAAAACATCAAATTTCTGAAGATCTGCAAATTGGACCCATGAAGCTGCAAGAGATCGCTTTCCTGTAAGGAACAAACGAAAATGTTTTATAAGAAACATTCGGTTCCAGTACTGAACAATTAATAGACGCAATAGAAAAGTTCACCCTTGACAGTGACAACCAGCTGGTAAATCGTTCAATGTTTTCAATGACTATCTAAAATTCAAATATTGGGAACACATTACGAATCAATACCGACGAGTTACGAGGGCTATTTACTACAATCATTCCCTTATAAATGCTTTAATGCTTTACGTAGTTGTCATTTTATACAGTATCATTATTTTGATCTCCTGAATTCACTATTGTGAATGATCATGAACCAATTCATATTTTAAATGATTATTGAAAACATGTGGGCGCCGTATTCCTTAAACTATCGAGCAGAAAAAAGATCATTCTTATAACATGTAATCAGAAACGAGAGCTGTTGGTCATACCATAAGGAGTTTGATTTCTGCCCTCATGTTTTTAAAATGAATTTTAAATACCAGGACGGCGTGTGCTTACATTCATGGCGAATCTATCAGCATTTGTCAGCCCACTGAGGTCGGGCATTCCAGCGATGTTCACCATGGTGGAAGAAATGTAGATATCTTCGTCGTGAAAACGGTCCATTTTCTGGCATTGGAAAAGAATAAAGTTTAACAGTCATACGAGTTCCAATCATCCATCTCATTCAATCACACCACTGCACAAAACTACACTTTATTCCTCCGTGCAATAAGGAAACAGTATCCTAATGTTGGTATACATACAGAATGCAACACTCATAAGTTTCACATTAGTTGGGTCCATAGTACAGCCAGTGAATGGTGTATACAGTTAGTTTTGACAATAATGGTGTTGCGGTTGAGTGGTTGTTTGTTCTGGACACAAAGGAGCTATTTCTTTTTTGACTGTACATAACGGGCAAGTTTACCGAAGCGCCTCTTTGGTTTACAAAACATTTCGCAAGGCTATCTGGGCCAGCCATCACAGGAGTGTTTCATGTTGCAACCCAGAATCCCAGATTGTAAGGCGAGTGACCCAAGTATTAAGAAAAAAGAAAAAAATTAAAAATTAAAAACTTGTACAAGCGCCTGGAACTTATAGCCAATAATTTGAAGCTATCATGTTGCTGTATGGTAGTTTTAAAAGTAACTACCGTACTCAGCAACTCAGGAGGTTTCCCAAAGTATTTTTAGATTCACCCAAATTTCACATCCAACTTTGGGCTGGTTTTAAGAGATCTTTTTAGTAAGTAAGTCAAAATCAAAATAAGAGCAAAAGGCATAATCTCTTTTCTTTTGTTGCCCGTTTTAAAGTAAATTCATTTTGAATATACTTTTCCGAGCATTTTGACGTCGGCCTCCAATGTAAACGCTTTTATTTTATTTTATGATTCACCATCAGCAGAGATAGCATCGAACGGAGGCATGGAGTATTTAACAAAGTTAAGTTTATTTCTTGAACCAACCTTAAAGTGAGAGGTTAGTTATCCTGCTAAATTTGATACCTGGAAGGATATAAAATATGGAACTTACATAATTATCGTAGGCAGTCTTTTGGGTTCTTCTTAGCTCATTCAGTTCGCTGTCGATGGCATAGTAGGTATGTAACGTGACAAGCATCGAGGTCGGTGTAGCAGATTCCATTGGTGGTGTCATGCTCGTAGGTGCAGCAGTACAGACGGCAGTGACTGTTCAGGCAAAAGACAAATCAAGTTCTCAATTTGTTCTGATAAAGTTCAGACAACAGGTCAGGTAGGCCTAAGTATTATCTGAACATGACCAGAATAACTGCGTATTATTACTTAAACTTAAAAGACAAACTTGCCTAAATCCAAGAGGCTTGGCTACTTTATCTTTGGAAAAGTCTATAAAAATATTTTGTTTTGTCTTTATCAGATCCCAGTGAATTTGACAAGGAGGATAAATGATAGGCTTACCTGCAGCGATTAGCATAAGTAGAGGGTGAATAGCCATTGTTTCTTCGATTTTTATTCTGCGCTTGTGTTGTGTTCCTCTTCTGCTCATTCGACAGTTTTTGATTGAGACGGGATTCCATCCTCATTATATACTTTTTGGGGACCATGCGTTCAAAAATACTTATTTTTAACTCCATTTGATCACAAGCTTGAAATTACAACACAGAAGAAAAATACGTAAGAACGCACACCAAGAAATTGTGTTTATGGTGAACACAAATGTTTCAGCTAGAATTGGACGAACGAATTCGTGTTTCATAACTTCCGCCGCAAAAGTCGTTGAATCTTGCTGTGATGACACCTGGGCCGGCCTTTGTGAGATTGGACCGGATGACTCATGTTGTTGAACTTGGGGAACCCCTCTGGTATAAAAGGCAAAGTTACCTGAGCAAGAGCACAGGTGTACTCCAGGTGTACCAGCACGACAATGGGGGAGGCCCACTTGAAAGCAAAACCGCAACCCCTCCCACGGTTTGTTGAATTGCGCCGCTCAGAACACAATAGATAACGGTGATCTTTATTCATGAAGGTGACAATAAAAGCCCAATATACATGCATATTCATGCTGTTACGTATTTTCGGTAGCCATTTCAGTCCAAAGGTGGCCTTGCGATAAAAAGCTTGTGGAGTATCAGGGTATTCAACACCAATGCAATATCTCGGAAATGCCAACACCGAACAAAAGAGGCGTGGCGTCGTGCTGCAATTGTTTCCAAGTCACCTGGGCCCGTGTAAAATATGACGGAGAGTATACATACTATTTTTTTCATTTTTTGCAGGTGTGAACCACGTTTTTGACATTGCAGCGATTCAAATATGCTGCATCGCAGGGCCGATTTCTCGCTGACCATCGCTTATGTGTAAACGTGCCTGTCTTCCAGCCTTACTTAACAATTTGGATAAGAAATACCGGATTCAGTTTATTACCGGTATGTTTTTATAAACACACCCACCAAAGCTGTCTCTGTATAACTTCTATTGCTTACTTAACCAATGATACTTAATAAGATCTAATCGAGATCACTGCAATTTCAGCAAGCGTATATTACTGAATAACTTGTATTTATAATTATTAATACTTGATGTAAGGTATCAATAATCAACGAAAGGCCTATGGAAAGTTGCGTCTCGCAGAGAGAATTCTACTGAGTACATCAAAATGAAGACAGAGGTCGACGTGTTCACGCCCAAGAATCGACGTTGCAAGTGGATCTTATTCCACAACTGGATGCAGTTGAATCCTCACTGATTGAAAACATTCCAATTTGAAATAAGATTAATTTACAAATAATTCGCTTTAAATCTAAATTGCATGTATACTTTTTCCCACAGGAAGAGCTGACATCTCTTAGTTCTTGTAAGTGCAGAGGATTAGCTAAGGTTTCGAGGTTTTCAAAATTTGGAGCCGCATCACGAAAATCAGCTTGTATCTTTTCCTTTATTTCGAAAAGTCCAAGGGCCACTTCTGAAAGTAAGTAATGGAAAGCTTTATACCTTGAAACAGTCGGTCAATTGCATGCGTAAGAGTAGAAAAAACGTGAGGCCCCCTTCCCGTCATACTTACTGAGATCTCGGGGTGGGGCTATTGTCTAACTCCGGGGGACAGATTCAAAGGAACCACTTCAGTTACAACATTTCTTCATGAATTAAAGATTGGTCCAGATTTGAAGCAAAAAGAAGAACCTGTTAGTTTGAGGACAGACAATGTCCTTTTGTTTTGTTTTGCTTCTCCAAAAGCATGGAACCATTAGGTTTCGCGTTAGTCTTTGATATGAAGTCCTATTACTGTTTCTATACTGAAAGCCATTCCACCAAGGGATTTAATTAGACACTGTTTTGCTCAGTTGGTTAATGTAATTTTATGAACTTCTTGATACACATGTTTGGCTACACCTCAAGCAACTATTACACCAGGAAGGGAAAGCTTTATAAAAGGCCACGCATGCAAACTTTGTGGGGAAAAATTAACCCATTCACCAATTAACTATGCCAGCCCGTCTAACTCTATATCTTTCCTTAATTGTACTTACCTTTGAAATCACCAACAATTCTAATACTGAATTCCAAGGCCTGAAAAAATTGCTTTCATTTCTGTCTTGTTAAGGCATCCGTATCACTCGAGCGCTCAACCATTTAATACAAGAACAAAGTTAAATGTATTGCGCAACTTGAAAGGTTACTCGGGTATCTTGTTTCTGTTTTTAATTTTATCCAGATGTATATATCTGGAGGAGAAAAAAACTTCTATTACTGATGTTTTTATTGCGTACACCCTGTTGTCATTACACTCACGTTTGAGGATATTTTAGCGAGCGGAATGTGACAGAATAATGTGAAATGATACACTTCTATTGAAAAGTATACGGGACAACACAGCCTATGAATTTGAGCTTTTCTGCTTTGGGGCCACTGAAAAATTCTAAGGCAATCTCAGAAACCGAAACATAAATAATATCATTTACTCTGAACAAATCTAGTTCAAGATTATTAGGAAATTGTTACCAATAAGTTAACTACCGGGCACATATCTTGCGCTAGGTAGACGTGGTACTCAGTTGGGTTTTAGACACTGACATTCTGCCAATTCTGCGTGTTTGTTTAGTTGATTGGGTCGGATGTGACGAAACCTTGTTTTTCAGTCAAAAACAAAGGTTCGGAATTGCAGTTAATGTAGAGCCATATGCTCTCCTAGATTTCGGGGCTTGACTGTACGGCATCATGCAAAAGTCCTTAGGCTGAGTCAAATTTAAAGCATTTAAAGCATTTGTATGATTTTATTCTAATCGCATTTTGTTAGCGTTTCCAACCCCACTCCCTGTCCCTACTATGCCTCGTCATAGTTATTTCCTACCCACATCACTTTTCTAGCCTTCAAATTAGGTTATGTCTTTTTTTTTAAATCTACAAAGGTTGGGTCACAGTCAATGCTGCACAATGGCTTTTACACACAAAACAAAAACAAAGACAGCAGAGAATACACAATCACATTTAATGGTCGATCGTGGTGAGTGGTCTTACTTCCCCAAATCGAAAACGAAACTTTTCAATAAAAAGATAAACGTCATACCAAAGGTCTTGGGTGGGCGGAATTTGTAGCCATTCTTGTAACGATGCCTACAGTTATGGTTCCACATGATGGCAAACACATTATGCACGTAATGCAGGAGAGAGTTACCAGTTGACAATCGAGTGATTGGTACCAGAACTACACGACTGATGAAACAATCAGTGACTCGACTTAACGCCAGGATTCCACTGAAAGAGCCGTCTGTAGACCCCTTGCACTTGGTACCCGTTGATCATTCCTTTCACATGGTATGGAACCACTAAAAACTGTGTGAAGTGCAATCACTGCATTGTGTTTATCTTCCGGATAAACACTTTCTCTTTTTATTCTTATTAAAATACTGACTTTTTAAAAGAAAGTACCGGTAATTGCAAAGGTAAAATGAATACTTGTGATAAACTTTGGATTGCAAAATGATAAGGGAATGCCGACAAAAGTAGAAACAAATTGCACTGTTGAGCACTCTGTTATGTCATAGACAAATGCGATGCTTAGAAATGGTAGTGTTACACGTACTGATTCAATTCTATGGGATCTTGAGCTAAACAGAAGAAATCAGTATACAACGAATCGACAGCCCATCCTACCGTACATCTTCACTCTTGACACATGTTCAAAATTTATTCATTAATGACCCTACGTTAATTACCTTCATCAGTGTGTGACTTCGACGTCATTTTGACAACTAATGGTGTGCTTATTGCAAATCTTCTCAAGAGAGCACCAGTATCCATCAATAATCGGGGT